GGCATTACAGCTCACAGCAACCTCCAACTCCTGGGCTCAAGCGAGTCTCCTGCCTCCGCCTCCCAAGTAGCTGGGACCACAGGCGCCCACCACAACACCTGGTTGCAGCCGTCATTGTTGTTTGGCGGGTCGGGCTGGGGATTCGAACCCGCCACCTCAGGTGTACGTGGCTGGCGCCCTAGCCGGTTGAGCCACAGGCGCCGAGCCAAATACTATATATTTTAAAAGCATCAGATTGGCTTGCAGTAGAAGCAAGAGGATCACTTAAGCCCAAGAGTTTGAGGTTGCTGTGAGCTATGACATCATGGCACTCTATCCAGGGTGACAGAGTGAAACTGGGTCTCAAAAAAATAAATAAATAGGCTTGGTACTGATAGTTCAGTGGTTAGGGCACCAGCCACATACACCGAGGCAGGCAGGTTCAGACCTCAACTGGGCCTGCTAAACAACAATGACAACTACAACAAAGACAAAATGGCCAGGAGTTGTGGCGGGTGTCTATAGTCTCAGCTACTTGAGAAGCTGAGGCAAAAAAATCATTTAAGCCCAAGAGTTTGAGGTTGCTATGAGACTTTGTCTCAAAAAAATAATAAAAAATAAAGAAATAGCCACACGCACTGGCATGCACCTATAGTCCCAGCTACTAGGGAGGCTGAGATAAGGAGGATCATTTGAGTCCAGGAGTTCTGGGCTGTATTGCACTATGCCAATCAGGTGTCCAAACTAAGTTCGGCATTAATATTGTGACCTCCTGAGAGTGGGAGCCCACCAGGTTGCCTAAGGAGGGGTGAACCGGCCCAGGTCAGAAATGGAGGTCAAAACTCCCATGCTGATCAGTAGTGAGAGTGCACCTGTCAATAGTCACTGCACTCCAGCCCGGGCAACATAGTGAGACCCTGCCTCTTATAAAAATAAAAAGGTTAAAAAATAATAATAAATAAATAAAAGGCTCAGAGCCTAGGGTGCCAGTGCATACACAGGAGCTGATGGGTTCGAGCCCAGCCTTGGCCCGCCAAACAACAACTACAACCAAAAAATAGCTGGGGATTGTGGCAGGCGCCTGTAGTCCCTGCTACTTGGGAGGCTGAGGCAAGAGAATCGCTTAAGCCCAGGAGTTTGAGGCTACTGTGAACTGTGACACCACAGCACTCTACCCAGGGTGACACAGTGAGACTCTGTCTCAACAAAAATAAATAAATTAAAATATAAACTGTCTGGTATAAAGCCTAGAACATAATTTCTTAATTTCTTAAACCCAAAAGAGAGGAATGCAATTTAAGTCCCTTCATAACTGGTGAATAATGACACCAATTGATAACTATAACATTCATTCTCACATGAGGGAAACTAAAATGACAGAAAAAAAACAGGCACTACCAGCTCAGCACCTGTAGCACAGTGGTTACAGCACCAGCCACATACACCGAGGGTGGCGGGTTTGAAACTGGCCCAGGCCAGCTAAACAACAATGACAACTACAACAAAAAAAATAGTCAGGCATTGTGGTGGGCGCCTG